ATGCCTGACGAGTTCCTCACCAGCAACCCCCCCCCGCTCTGGATCACTCTCTACCACATAGTCACCCGCCTCCCCGACTCCCTGCGCACAGTCAGGGACCACTTCCTCTCTCGCTCCCCCACTGAACTCACCATTGCCCTCCTCGAGAAGGAACTGCTTGCAGCTGAGGCGAGCATCGTCGCTGTAGGCACCTCTCGTGGCGACCCCCGCACCCCGTTCTTTGAGGGGTGTTCCCCTTCCCCTCTCCTCCCCTCTGTCGCCTCTGCTGCTGCTGTCGACCTCCTTGGTGCTGAGAAGGTCGGGGCCGCGTCTGCTTCGAGCGGGCGCCGCAAGAGCAAAGGGGGCAAGGGTGGAGGTGGCGGCGGAGGAGGTGGGGGTGGAGGCGGTGGGAGTGGAGGAGCGGCTGGGGAGGCTAGTGGCGGCAGTGGGGGTGGTGACAGCAGCGGCGGGAGTGGCGGCAGGGGTGGAGGCGGCAGCGGAGGCGGAGGTGGTCGTGGCAGCGGCAGGGGTGGAGGTGGCCGAGGCGGTGGTGGTCGTGGAGGCGCTGGTGGTGGCCAGAGTCAGCAGCCCGCCCCGTCGCTTCAGGCCGCCCGTGAGTGGTATGCGCAGCGTGGCTTTACCTGCACGTACGTCATTCGCACTGGTGACCGCACTGGCCAGCAGTGTGGGAGGCCGCATCCCACACAGCGCTGTTTCGCGCGCCTTACTGACGCGTGGCGTGCCCAGTTTCCTGATGCCACTGAGCTGCCCCGCTGGGCTGATCTGGAGAAGAAGGGAGTTGATATCTGGGCTTTAGACTTTGATGCTATTCTCACTGCCATGTATGCGATGTTTACTAGTGGAGAGGGTGCTCAGTACTTGCGTGTTCCGCCCGACCCGGGCATTCAGACCAGTCCGGCTGCCGCTCTAGGTGCTAGTGAGTCTGCTGCCCCAGGTCCTGGTGAGGCTGCTACTCTAGGTGCTAGTGAGTCCGTGCCCTCTGGTACTGAGTCGACTGCAGCACTGCACACCTTCACACTGGACTCAGGTGCTTCTCGTTGTTTCTTTCGTGACCGCACTGTCCTTGAGCCGCTTGCTCGGCCAGTTGCTGTCTCCCTCGCTGACCCCTCTGGGGGTCCGGTCGTTGCGACCTCCTCCACTGTCCTTCCTTGTCCTGCGGTCCCGTCAGGCACACTGTCAGGTCTCTACCTCCCCTCGTTCTCTACGAACTTGGTGGCAGGTAGTGCGCTCCAGGACGGGGGTGTTCACCAGTTCACCCCTGCTTACGAGCGCGTGACCCACTGCACGTGTGCTCGGACGGGCCGTCACCTGGCTACCTTCACTCGGCAGCCGGGGTCGGACCTGTACACACTGACCACTGAGTCCCCTCAGGTAGCTGCGTCCGCGTCTGCGTCTGCGTCAGGTCAGCTGTCCGCCCCCTGCTCGTGTCGCTCTCTGGCGCATGAGACTGTCCTCTGGCACCACCGCCTTGGTCACCCGTCTGTGCAGCGCCTTCGGGCCATGCACAAACGGGACCTTGTTGCTGGTCTTCCCAGGGTTCTCCCTCCCCTCCCACCCTCGCCTGCTCCTCCCTGTCTTCCCTGTGTCGAGGGGCGGCAGCGCGCCGCTCCTCACTCCTCCTCCTTCCCCCCGACGACTGCTCCTTTGCAGACGCTCCACATGGACGTGTGGGGCCCAGCCCGAGTCCGTGGTCAGGGTCAGGAGAGGTACTTCCTGATTGTTGTTGACGACTTCTCGCGCTACACCACGGTCTTCCCCTTGCGCACCAAGGGTGACGTCCCTGATGTCTTGATCCCTTGGATCCGCAGATCTCGTCTCCAGCTCAGTGAGCGTTTCCGCTCCGACTTCCCTGTCCTGCGTCTGCACTCTGACAGAGGTGGGGAGTTTTCCTCTGGCCTCTTGGAGACCTTCTGTCAGCAGGAGGGCATTGAGCAGTCGTTCACGCTTCCGGCCTCTCCACAGCAGAATGGGGTTGCTGAGCGCCGCATTGGCTTGGTCATGGAGGTCGCTCGTACCTCCTTGGTTCATGCGGCTGCCCCCCACTTTCTGTGGCCGTTTGCAGTCCGATACGCTGCGCATCAGCTCAACCTCTGGCCCCGTGTCTCCTTACCGGAGACTTCTCCGACACTGCGTTGGACGGGAGAGGCTGGCCCTGCTCGCCCGGTGAGCGCCTGCTCTCCCAGCCTTTGGTGAGCGCCTGCCTGCCTGCCTGACGGCCTGCCTGTCTGCCTGCCTGCCTGCCTGCCTGGCTGCCTGCCTGCCTGCCTGCCTGCCTGCCTGCCTTCCTGCCTGCCTGCCTGTCTGTCTGCCTGCCTGCCTGCCTGCCTGTCTGCCTGCCTGCCTGCCTGCCTGCCTGCCTGCCTGCCTGCCTGGCTGCCTGCCTGCCTGCCGGCCTGCTTGCCTGCCTGCTTGCCTGCCTGCCTGCCGCGCCTGCCCTGCCCGCGCTACTGCTGCTGCTACTGCTACTGGCAGGTGGCCAGATGCAGCTCCAGCGACGTTCACGCGAGCCTCTCACGCCCCAGCAGCTTAGTGAGTGGTATACTAGCTGGGGTTGTCGCAGTAGCCGTCGTAGCTGTCGCCTTGGAGCTGGTCAGTTGGGAGCGTCTGGCAGTGGCCAGCTGCAGCTGCAGGGGCGTCCACGTGAGACACTTACGCCCCGGCAGCTCCAGGAGTGGTACGCTCAGTGTAGCAGGTCTACGCGTACAGTTCGCTGCCCGTACGTCATTCGCACAGGTGCTAGGACTGGTCAGCCTTGTGGGACGCTTGGTCACACACAGTCCCGCTGCTTCGCCCGTCTGAGCGACGACTGGCGCACAGTGTTTGGCGACGAGGCTGAGCTCCCCACCTGGCTGGAGCTGCATGGACAGAGGGTAGATATCTTTGCGCTTGACTATGATGCTATTCTCACTGCCATGTATGCATTGCCTACTAGTGCTGACCGTGCCTGTTACCTGTGCGTACCGCCTGACCCTGGTGAGGCTGCTGCTCTAGGTGCTAGTGCGTCTCCTGCTCTAGGTGCTGGTGAGGCTGCTGCTCTCGGTGCTAGTACGTCTACTACTCTAGGTACTGGTGAGGCCGTGGCTTCAGGTGCTGGTGAGTCTGCTCTCTCTGGTACTGCGCCCACTGCGGTCTCGCACACCTTCACCCTTGACTCAGGAGCTTCCCGCTCCTTCTTTCGCGACTGCACCACACTCACGCCGCTTAGTCGGCCAGTTCCAGTCTCCCTGGCGGACCCCTCCGGGGGTCCAGTCCTTGCCCACTACTCCACGGTTCTGCCGTGTCCGGCCGCCCCGTCCGGCTCGCTGTCAGGTCTTTACCTCCCCTCGTTCTCTACGAACTTGGTGAGTGGAGCTGACCTCCAGGATCGGGGGGTTGACCAGTTCACTCCTGCGAGTCAGCGAGTGACTCACTGTACGTGTGCTAGGACGGGCCGGCACTTGGCCACGTTCACCCGTGCACCTGGCTCGAGTCTGTACACACTGACCACTGAGTCCCCTCAGGTAGCTGCGTCTGCGTCTACGTCTGGTCAGCTGGCGGCCCCCTGCGAGTGTCGCGCTTTGTCACACGACACTCTCCTGTGGCACCACCGCCTTGGTCACCCCTCCTTGCCTCGCCTGCGTAGCATGCACTCTCGCTCCCTGGTCTCTGGTCTTCCCAGGTCTCTGCCTGCCCTCCCTCCCTCGCCTGCGCCGCCCTGCATTCCTTGCGTCGAGGGGCGGCAGCGCGCCGCTCCTCACTCCTCCTCGTTTCCTCCCACAGAGGCTCCACTGCAGACGCTCCACCTGGACGTGTGGGGCCCAGCCCGCGTCCAGGGACAGGGCCGCGAGCGGTACTTCCTGCTGGTCGTCGACGACTACACGCGTTACACCACGGTCTTCCCCTTGCAGAGCAAGGGGGACGTCCCTGATGTTTTGATCCCTTGGATCCGCACTGTTCGTCTCCAGCTCCGCGAGCGATTCCGGCGGGACTTTCCTGTCTTGCGTCTGCACTCTGACAGAGGTGGTGAGTTCTCCTCTGACCTCTTGGCAGCCTACTGTGCAGAGCACGGCATCACCCAGTCGTTCACGCTTCCGGCCTCTCCACAGCAGAATGGGGTTGCTGAGCGCCGCATTGGCTTAGTTATGCAGCACATAAAGTTTGACACGATACCCTGCCAAACCACTGAGATGGCGTTCACAGCAAGTTAGCTCAAGCGAAGTAGGCTCAAGAGGCCCAAAAGTGCAGATATTTGGGTCCAGCGTGGCAGTTTTGCCACTGACCACACCCACTCCCCGTGTCATGCGAATGTGGATACACACCTAGACGAGTTTGAGTAATCGAATTTTCAAACCCAATGAGGTGCATGTAACCCCGTCGACTTCAAGATCGTTCATGAGTAGCTTTCGTGAAGCAACCCCAAACACGTGTTACACAAATATCTGTGCACTGTTGTTGAGCGCGGTTCGCTTTGAGCTAACTTGCTGTGAACGCCATCTGAGTTATAGACACCTCATGCCAGCACATCCTGACTGGACGCGCAGCCAGTCAGGACTTCGCGAGTCAAACAAAGCGGAAAAGAATGTGAACTCGCTGCGAAAACGAAACTCGTTACTGTTTTAAACAGGATTTCGAATTAAAATTGTACATGCGCTTATAATAAGTAAATTTTTTACAGGGGGGGCGCTCATAATTGAGGAGCGGCCATAAGCGCATGGCTCCAGATAGAAGCGCCGGCGCTTTTAATAGGACGGCGCTACTATTTGGGGTGATACGGTATACTATGTGCGATAATTCATTCGATTAACACATTACAAACTCGCTTTGATTAACACGCAAAAAATTCCACGTAGGTCTCCTGTTTACATAATATAGCACCAAGGACCAGCTAGCCCTAGAGAATGAGTGAAAGCAGTGAAACATGCAATCTGGCACTTGCATGACCCAACTGCTGCAACACTCGCCTACATTGAAGGATCATCTCGGTCGCCATTTCTATTAGACTCCAACCATCGCCATTTCTATTAGTCCTTCCTGTTAGCGGCCACGTTAGCACGCTCCTTCTTCCCGTGACTGTGTCTCGCATTCTTCTTACCCCCATTCTTCTTGACCCCATGTTTCTTCCTCCTCGACCCGTCAGTGCTCTCAGTGCTCACCCTGTTGCTCACAAGGCCCGAGCTAGTCAGGCTGTTCGCGCTAGCCATACCGCCACTCGCTTTCCCGCATCCGCGAACTAAGTTGCAAGCGAGCAGTGCGCCGTTCTCCCCGCACGTGCACTCCTCACAGCGGCCTCTGGGGCCTGGCACGCCATCCGTTCCCTCGACGTAGAACTTGGGACCCCAGCTCTTCCCCGCCGCCACGCACACCGCCTCCTCGCCAAACCCTTCGCACGTGCCCTGGTCCACTGGCCGGCCATCGTTGTCCTGTCCTCCACCGCCCACAGTGTGAATCATGCACCTGGAGATTTCGACGCGCGGGAACCATGACGTCAGGTGCGTGCAGGTTATGAACAAAACAAGAAGGAACAAAGAGAGAAAAACCGTCATCATTGATCGCTCTCATCCATGCCTCCTCACCTTCGGGTCTCGGGGCAGATGATGCCGTCCCCCTTGGGTCCCTTCACCAGGTCGCCCTGCCAGTCCACGTAGCACGGCCCCACGTCCTCGCAGTCGCACTCCGCCGTGTTCACCCCGATCAAGCTTCCAACACCGCTCCTCCCACCTGCTCCCGCCCGAGTCCCCGCTAAGCGCCATCCCTCGATACTGTTTATGGAGGCAGCGTAGTCAGCGGCAGCGGCGGCGACGGCGGCCACCTCCTGCGCCTTCTCGGGATGGTTGGTGCAAGTGCAGCGCGCGCAAGCCGGATTGCCCTTGATTCCCCGCGTGCCCACGGCGTACGGTTGACTCGTGTACATACAATGGGAACCCACTGGCGGTACGGGAGAAGGGACCGGGGAGTTGGATGTGGGAGAGTGAGAACCTTTCAAGTGAAGGGATAACGCGTCAAAGGGTCAGCGGTTGACGGAGGTTGTAGACACGAGGGAGTGCTGCCTGTATGGTTGTCTTTATTAATCAGCCGCGAGTTGTGCGTCAGCGTATGGGAAGGTGGGGTGGGGCAATGAATCGAAGAACGGTGGGACTTACGAGCGTAGGAAGAATTGCAGAAACCGGTGAAGACGGCGCTGGCGGGAGTAGGAACACGGGTCACCACGCAACTGAATGGGCTCAGAGAGGGGAGGGGATAAAGGCGAGAGTGTAGAAATAAAAACGATGAACGAGGAGGCGTTGGTAGAGCTTGCGTTCACGAGCATCGGAGCAAGCAGGGATAGCAGGAGCAGCAGGAATAGCAAGAATAGCAGGAATGGGAGGAGGTGGTGCGTACAGAAAGAGGGCGGTTCGGACGAGCGAGGAGCGGCGAAAGGACGGGAGTGAAGAGACTCAACTGGAAGGGGCTGGAGGCGCAGGGAAGGCCGACGGGTTGGTGGTTGGCGTCGAGCGTACACCTGGCGCCGTCGGGTAAGCCGTCCGCGCCAGCAGCTGCTGCTGAGACGATTCGAGCCTTGTGGCCTGAGTGTGCATGGAAGATGTAGTAAAAGAAATAGGTCGTTAAGGCGGCGGAAAGTTGAAAAAATATTGAACAAGTGCTGATTGGAATTGAAATCTACGTGGCTAAAATAATTAACGAGGTGGGATCTTGCAGCGCACAACACCATTAGGTGCTGAATCTAAGAGGTGCACGGGTATCGACACAAGCGCCGACCCGGACTTCAGGGAGCACTCACCATGGCATAGTGCAAGGGGCAGTGAAGCCAGTGGTAGCAGTACCGCCAACGCCACCAATAGCGCCTGCATCTCACAGCTTTCCCAGCTGCGTGACCTTGAGGCCGCCATTGTTCAGTCTAAACGCGACCACAGGAAAACTCTAGCAAGACGCGGGTTCGCACCGTAATCAAGTCAGTAGGAAGTCAGATGCAGGTGTATTTCTTTGTGGAAAATATGTATTCCGCTTGAACTTGTGCGAGTGCTGATATAAGAGAAGCCGCTCAGCAGATGTGGAAGCAAGTCACGCCTTGACCCCAGGAAATTGCTTGTTCGGTGGCGCTACTGTTGTGATGCAGCGAGTGTGATGTTTTCAATTTGGAGCTGGCAAGACCAGGGGCGCATTGACGGACGTGCCCGTTGCTGAAATCGGATCGCGTTCGGGCAACATTGAAACACTGGCATCGCGATTTGACAACGGCAATCAGTTACTACATCGGCATATCAAGCAATTAGAGCAATGTTCCGTAAAGATGAGTAAGCACAAGTTTCAACGACTCTTGGTTATTTTCCGACGAAAATGTTTTCCATTCGTTCGCAGTTTGATCAGCCCTCGTGAATCAATGTGCGGCAACGGCATTTGCAATTATGCGCGGTTGATACTTGTTTGTGTGCTGGGGAAACCAATGTGCTTCAAAGTTCGTGCCCGTGAAATGTGATGTTCCGTTGCTGGCTGAGCGTTGTCGGCGGCAGGCACCCGTGGCGCGAATGCACCACACAATTTTGACCCGACGTCAGCACATTCCGTTATGTTTACAACGTATTAATCTCATAAGTGTTTATCTATGACTTCAAAACTTAGGCATTATTAGAGAGGGATCCTAGCCAGGCCCCACGACATCAGGGTAAAACATCCTGATTACCCTGATTTCAGGATATTGTCAGGAGTTCTCTCTGTAATTTCAGGATGATGGTATATTTTACCTTGCGACTTCATTATATATATATATATATATTTATATATATATATAATGAGCCATGAAATTCCAAGAAGGACGTGACGTGAGATTTTGCCTTGAAGCATTAAGATGAAGGTCGAGGACTGCCTTGACGCGTATGCAGAAGGGGGAGGGATGAGTGGGGGGGGGGGAGGATAGGGGAGAGGGAGGAAGGGGTGTACCGGTTTTGTATCCTCCCCAGGATTTTGTCGCTTACTAATACCGTAACATGCTGGCATTTGGCTTCCCACTCATACCAAGCCTTCCCCTCCACCTCTCTCATGTCTTGTGATTTTTTTGCTCTGAGAGATCAAGATGAACTCCTGTTGGTGCCCTGAAATTTTAGGATGGTCATAAATTGCCCTAAAAATCAGGGCATTTTTTAGAAATATTTAAAAGTTGCCCCGAGGGCTCAGGATGCCCAAATGGCCCTGATCCTACCAAGGTGGGCACCTTGAAGTCGAAGTTATGAACAGGGTGTCTTTATTAATATAAGGACTTAGGGAGGGGGGTACACCCTCTCTTTTTAAAACTCGCGCCCCAAAATGCTGTACGTTGGCAAAATCTGACAACCCCACCCCCCACGAACACCTGCTTGTCAGAATCCCAACCACTAACACTGGGATAAAATGGCTTGTTTGTGTAACGGGTGAGTGCGCCCATAACCCCCCAGGCCGACGTGCCTGTAACCCTTTCCTAGGATCAATCGGGGATCCCCAGTGGACCTCTGACACCCCCCCACACTGGGATGCCCAAGGTGCACACACCGGGATTCGAACCCGAGACCTTCGCTCTGATACCATGTCAGAATCCCAACCACTAACCACTGGGATAAAAGGGCTTGTTTATGTAGCGGGTGAGTGCGCCCATAACCCCCCAGACCGACGTGCCTGTAACCCTTCCCTAGGATCAATCGGGGATCCCCAGTGGACCTCTGACAATGCTTGCGTTGGTGTTCACATCACAAACCACCCAGCCCTTAGCCTTACGCAAGCGTACTAACCTTGCACAATTTTGACTACAGGATTGAAGGAAGATTGCCCACATTGTGCATGTGTCCACAAAATCAATAAATACGTAGCATGGATTGTGCCTGAAGTGAGTCTGTGATGATTCGCACGTCATATTGTATGAGTTACGAGATAGCATAACGAAACGATTCAGTAGGATTGAGATAAATATAGGCAACCCTAAAAGGCTTGTACTCTCTGTTACGTATAGTGGCATGAGAAGTGTTACTTTGCATTCCTGCCAGTAGCAAGAACGAGGAACACAGAAGTGAGTACGAAGGCGAAGGGTCGAAGCGACACGCACGGTTACGAAGCATCCGAATCGTCGAAGCAGACATCATCGGGCGATTGCAGGAGCGGGGATTTTGGTGGGTTTCGTAACAGTACGCGCCTTACAGTTGGGTTTGAATTCGAATAATGGCAATGTACCCTTTAGAGTAAACGGCTAGACGAGGACATTTTGTATTTCGTCTAGACTCTATATATCGTTGTTTTTGCATGTTTTAATTACTTAGTCATATTGAATCCACCCTAATTTGAGGTCAAATTCATCCACTGCAACACCAAATTTCTGCGAACCTTCCTGAGGTGATCCTAGGCACGATCAAAATTTTGATCGCAGCATGGTATCAGAGCGACCCAAGAATCCTTCGCAACGCCACCTCCAAAATCTTCGGCGAACTAAAGTGGTGTCCGGCACATGCTCGCACGTAAGGATGGCTGTAGGATCTGGAGGCCAGACAAATCTGATGGCTAGACAATGACCCCCTCCTACTGCTGCTCCACTCCTGCCCGCGCTGCTATGGCCCCCTCCCACCCACGCACAGCCGGCACAGCGCCATGCACCACCGCGTGCGAGGGCGAGGAGCTGGGTGCACGGCTGGCATTGCCACCACCACCCGCCTGCCACGCTCCCTCAGCCCCGCCTGCCTGCTGCACCTCCACATGCGACACTTGCGTTGCTGCTGCCGATGCCTCCTCTACCCCCCCCCCCTCACCCCCCCCCCCTCCCCCACTGCGCCCACCTGCAGCTTCTGAGCCTGTGCCACCTGCTCTTGCCCGTGCCCTCCCCTCTGCGCCTCGTCGCTGTCCCCCCATGCCCCCAGTGCCGTCATCGCATGTGTGCTTCTCGCCTGCCCGTACGCCGTGTGAGAATCCACCAGCCGCCCTCGTCCACAGCCTTTCCAGCCCCCCACCACTCTGCGCCGCCTGCCCTTCCCACCTCCGCCACCTTCTTCTTTCCCACGTGGCCGCCCCCTCCTGTGCATTACCAGCACTGCTCCCCCAGTCGGCGCCCACCACGCATGAGCGCGCGGAGTAGGGGGGGCGCTGCTGGTGGCGGAGGGCGCGCGCGGGGCGAAGAGGTGCCGCGCGGACGGGTACGTTCGTATGAGGGAAGCGGCGCGCAGGGACTGGCGGGCAGCGAGGCATGAGAGCAGGCAACAGGCGTGCTTCTCGAGGCGCGCGGCGTAGTCGACAGTGCGGGCAGCAGCGGTCGCAGCAGGCGCGGCAGCGGAAAGGCTGCGCGCGACGCTGCGAGGGGTGCGTGACGACGAGGCGGGCCAAGGCGAGAGGGCTTGGGGCGTTGCCATGCCGCACAGGGAGAGCGCGGGGGGCAGTGCGTTGCAAAGCGGTGGCGGGGCGGCGGCGAAGTGCATGGCGAGGGGCGGAAGGCGGCGAGGAAAGAGCGCGCGGGAAAGCGAAGAGGAGGTTGAAGGAGCAGTAGGGAGGAGGAGTGCGCGTAGAGTGGGGCCCTGCCCTACCAGCCGCGGACCTTATCAACCTCGCCTCGCCAGCGCTTCGCCGTCTCCTCTGCCCCACATCCCGCAACCGCTGCCCTGCTCCTATCGCGGCAAAAGTTCAAAGCTGGCTTAGGAAAGAAGGGGGGGAAAGGCGCGCGTTCCTTGAGGATTTGGGATTTTTTTGCAGGGGCAGTTACGAGCGAGTAATTTCTGTCTTTGCTAGCGTCTCCATCGCAAAGCAACAGGTTCAATACTGTACAGTACAGCTTGGCGAAGTACAGCACTCACATCAATCATTTTTCTCTCGAAAGTCCCATCCCCCAAAACCCAAGTTCCAATTTATCCCGATCGCTTTCTCCCCTCGTTCGACACGTACGAGCGCAGAAACGCAAAATCTAGGAAATGACGTAGTACAAGCTCACTGCTCTCGCGCAATGGCTTTATTCGTAGTCTGTGGCCTTAGGATTTCGATTTGGAATGCCTCCCTACGGACACCATAGATCAAGCAGGTCGAGAAGGTAGGCTCTTCCTGGTTTGGCAGAAAAGATTTGAACCTAGTGAACCAAATTTCTCCTGCGTCGTTGCTGCATCACTTGTCTAACCTAGTGTTGTCATGACGGAAACTCTTATATCAAGCACGCCGTCCTTCCTTAATTGCACTTGCATCACCTTGTCCTCCCCCCAATTGTTCTCCTCCCACCTGCGTTCATTTGTCCACCCATCTGCAGATCCCACATGTAAGGAGAGTGCTAGTCTATTTGACAGATTTGGACCCACTTCGTTAGTATTCGAATGGTCCTTCATTAAATAAGCGTGATAAGTACAGCACATTAGGAGCACAACCATACAAACAGGGCAGGGCAATCTAGGGCATCTCGAGCTCAGGCTCGAGCACGTGCATGAGATCTCTCGAGCTAAGGGGCTCCCCCTCGATGGCGGTGGGGGTTGACCCGGCCTCAAACGCCGTCAGTGTCTTGGCAGCTAGTGCAGATGCTTGCGCACGTTGGAGGGTGATGGACCAACGCTGCCGGTAAGAGTGATAAATCTTCGCCGCCTCCCTCGAGGCGGGCTCAGCGTTATAAAGGCGCTTGGCAGCAAGGTTTGCGCACAGGGGAGAAACTCAAACACGCCTGGAGAGCAGTGCCCGTACGTCTCTACAGCCATCGCCAGGAAGCCGACCCATGGCGCTCGGTTGCGGTACTTGTGTTCTTTGCCCCGGGCTGCAACGGCTGCCGCCCAGCCAGGCGCTCTCCTGGCGTGCGGGTCCTGGCTGGAGATGGGGTCGGTGACGGTGATATCGCATAACCAGACCGCCGATGTGTCCGGGTGGCGAAGGGCGAGAT